TTTCTGGCATTTCAGATGCAAACTGAGTATCCACAGAAATTTCATTAGAAGCACACTGGAGTTTGTGTTTTAACATTTAAGTTTGAAAGATCCTGGAAGCAAGATTTACTGACTGATTTTATGGGGCAAGAGAAGAAATATGCATTTTTAATGTAATAATTAGCTTGTAATGTAAGAATGTGACATTAGCACTAAGACTTACTATATATGGTGTCTGAATTGCCACTATTTTTGTAAAAAGCAGATGGGCATCCAATCTTCATCCTTTCATATTTGTTATGATTTCACCTGTTGAGCTAAGTGAAAACTAGCATACTGAACTAGAACAAAAAGAATGACTTAGGGGAGACAGAAAGTGATATAGCCATTACAGCAGCCTGTTAGTGTACTGTCAGGCATGATGGCCAAATTATAGGTTTGAAAACATTGCAGTGTTTCTTAAAAAGGAGTAAAAAATGTCATCTCCCTTTTACAGTGACTGTAGTGCTTTCCAGTTCTCATCTAGCTCTGCTTAATGATAATTTTTCTGCCTCTTCTTCTTCATGTATGGGGATGTGCACAGGGCTGCTGTTGCTGGGCTGCAAATATTTGTCCCAGCAATGTCTCTGAAATGCCAGCATGCCAACTTGTGCCACCTGGCACAGTGTGTGCAATCCTACAAGTTGTGGGAAGTGCAGTTGCATGTTATTTTCCTTCCTGGCAGATGACTGAAATTATTTACATAAGGCAACCATTTCTGATATATTCTGCATATACTGCAACAAGAAGCAAGCTTGAGAATGCTCTTCTGTTCTTGCAATGCAGAGGTGGTAAAAATTGAATCGTCTGCAGTAGGGAAAGGGCTTTGCACTAAGGGAAAAATATATTTGGATTATTCTTTTTTTTTCTTTCTTTAAATTATATCTGCATTTGTTTTTATTCAGATAACCCCTAGTAAAAGTCATAATTTAGTATTTACAATGCTAAGTATTTTCTGCTTGTCATTTTCTTGTTTTCATGCAGGCCAGCTAATTTATGAAAAGAAAATGCATTTAGCTTTCTGCCCTGTCAACTGATATCTAGAAATATATGAGTCAAAAACATTAGCAAAACAGAACTGCGGACTACAATGGCAAAACCATTAAAAGCTGAGGTTTTCAGCAAGAAGATCTGAGCATTGACTTTTCAGGGATGTTGTATCTGCTGCCAGAATCTGTCCTGACTGTACAGCTAGGGAACAGGAGTTCTTTTCTCAAAATGAGAGGGGAAAAAAATCTATCTTCATTCCTCCTATTAGAATTTTTCACTTCAGACCAACAAATCCAATTTTGCAGAAATTGACTTCACTTTGCTAATTAAAATTTTGCAACCTCTCACTGCTGTATCTGAGACTAAAATTCATAAGCAATCTTTTAAATTCCAGAGTTTAAAAAAAAAAAAAAAGCCAAAAACACAGTACCTGTATGAATGCTGGTGTTGTGTAAGTTACCTCCTTGAGGTTTACCTTAAAGGAGTGATGGGACCTTAATGGAATTGAGGAGAAATACTCTGAAAGGTATCTTCTGGTTTACCAGATTTACCAGCTGGGTGTTGGGGCCTCTGAAAAATTTTGTTTTGCCTTAAATTTAATTCCTTAACACTCATCAGTGAGATTATGGTGTTTATATTGATGACTGATTTTTAGAGATATTATACCAAGTTGTACAGCTCAAAGCATTACTTGGGGGTTTCCAAGTATTAGTAATTTTGAAAGGATTTGGTTGTATTATGTCTTCTCAATGGGTGAAATACTTGGAAGAGTGAATTAATAAAAGGAGAATTTAAAGAATGAATGTTTTTTGCTGGGCACGCTACTTACAGTGATGAGCAAACTAATTCATTTTCCTAATAAGGCTGTGCTGGAAGTTGAATGTTGGAATTACATTAAATGTCACAAAAGTATTCATTGGAGAGAAACAGCTTGTAGGATGTTGGGAAAGTAAATTTGAACATGTTTTTCTGGTTGAAATGAACTGTTTATGCAGACTAAGTATAGCCCTTTTATTGAAAGAACAAACAACTTTGATGGAGAAGTGCAAAAATATTGTGCATTTTCATTTTCAGCATCCCAGCTGTCACTAACTGATGAATGTTGCCTGTATTTCCATTGTCTAAAATAATTTATAAGAAGCTTAACAATGCAGTCTGGAACTCAATCCAGCAGCCATTAGGGAAGGTCTTTTGTGGTTTTTGTGCACTGTTTATAATAAGCATTTATTGCTGAGCTTTTGTGTCTGTTTTGTTTGTACATAACCAGAATTTTACATAAGCTAATATACTGAATTGCCATCTTTAAATCATTCAGAAAATACCCTGCTGTTCTACTTTTCTAATGAGTATTAACAAGACAAGAATGTCATCTTATTCTGGAAGCCTGCATCGTCAGGTATTAATACACTCTGTTTAATCAAAATAGCATGAAATTGCTAGGTGAAAAGCTAGGTTTTAACAGCTAAGAAAATGATCAAGAATGTGCAGTTAAAATGTTTCATTTTACTCTGCAGATTTCTTAATATCTGTATTTATTTCCAAGGACAGCAATCGAGATGTAATCCTTGAAGCAGTTAGTTTCTTAAATGTATTGGACATGTTTTGCTCTTCAGTTTGAACTATGCATTTCCTCTTGTACTGTCTTGTCTAACCACTGTACATTTTTCACATTCAGATCCTGGTGGCTCAGTTTGCTGGATGAGCATTTTCTTTATGCTGTACTGGATAAATAAAAGATTTTAGTCTGACAGTGGTCTGAATTTGACATGGCCAAGTGTTTGAAGTATGTCTGGGATACAGACTTATATCCTTGTTTCAAGTATGTTTGGGGGAATTAAAGTTGTTGTGCTGTCTGCTGTCTGATTCCAGTAATAAAAGAACATTGGGAACAGTGTAGTTATCAAGACTTTTTTTTAATGCATTTTTTTCTTCTTGGTGGATGAATTTTGAAAATTAGAAGCAGGGATTGAAATTTTGCTAAATGCTATGATGAATTCAAAGCAAACTTGTGCTGCAAACTGGAATTTATTTATTTTTAAAACAACCAAGAAAAAGATGCATTTTGCTTATAGATCAGAACTGCAGGATCGAGCATAAGCAAGGAGAAACTTTTCTTCTCAGCTCTGAAATAAGGAGTTGATCTGAGTAGTGAATATCTTACTACTCCTAAGCGTTAGGCTAGTTTAATCCATATTTTAAAAGTTCCAAGTTTATTAACAAATGCATACCTAAAACATAGAACAAGATGCATATTTCCTGCTAACTCTAGTCTTTAAAAAGAAAAGGCTTCCATATGTGTTGTTACATTTATGTTGCTTTTGTTGCTGCAAATTGACAACTGTGCAATTAAGAGTGATTAATGATGCACCCTGGTGCTTTGGAGGGCTGGAGGCCAGAATTCTCATAGGCTGGAAACTCTGTGGGAAACAGGAGAACAGAGCTCTTCTTCAGAGTGGGGAAATCCCTCTCTCTGAGAATTATTGTTGATGTGGACATGATGTGTGTCAGCTGTGATGCACAAATGATGAAGGCAAAGTGCAGAAGATGATGATCTTGCACTCTGTAGTTGTGCTTTGTTTTTTCCTGCTTGTTATTGTTTTATCACTTTTTCAGCTTGTTTGCCAATGTAGCATGTGAATTATATGCATCTCCCTTTTTTATAAGTGAGTTCCTGAACCTGAATGGCTGAAAGGCTGTTGTTGAAATTGGATGAGCACTGAGGACTAGATGGCTTAAAGGGAAGGAGTAAACATTTTAAACAATTAAAAAAGAAAAAAGATATTTGTTAAGAGTTGAGAAGGCTTCAGTTAAGCAGACTGGGTATGCCTACTTCAAATCTGTCTCATACAATAGAGGTGTTTAATGAAAATGTATTCTCTGCTGATCTCAAAATAAACAAGCCTTTTCTTTTTTTCTTTTTTTTTCTTTTTTTCCTCAGCAGCAAAGTATCTTTCAGAAATGTTAATTCAGCTTCAGTTCTGTGAGCACCTGCTTAGAAGGTTCTTAGGAAGTCAAAGTTGTGCAATTTTTAGGCAGGATATAACAACTCTTCAGTCATTCAAGGATCCAGCTTTTCTGAGCAGCAACCAAATATGGCCGGAAATGTTTTGAAATGTGTCAGGAAGCCACTTTTCTACCAAAACATCAACAGAAAGCTGAAGTATATCAGCAGTGATGTTATCAGACAAAATGTCAGTGGGTTGAACTTTTTCTTGATTTGACTGTCTTTGTGAAATTGTAGAGTATTAGTGTATTTTTGCACACGTGTACTTGCAAATCTAAAAAAAAAATACAAAAACAAAAACAAATGAGATTCTTTTACTGTCCTATGTTACCAGTTCAGAACTTGTCATTTCTTTATCTTCATCCTTTCCGTTACAATATTTCCTTTGCTTCCTACCACCCAGTGGTAGTTTCAATGCACTCATTGTTTGAAAGGCTTTTTTTTTTTTTTTTTTGCTATCTGCTGTGGAATTCAAATGACATTAACCTCATCTTTGAAGACCGAGTACCAAAAGTGGCACGCTGTATTTTTTTAATTTAAGTCATTCAGAAGGATTGTTGTTGTTTTAAAAGGAAGCTTTCCGTTTTAAGCCTAGATAAGGGTTATGCACTTGAGAATGCAACTTATCTGAGCAGAACTTTTGAGTTACATGATATATCCTCTAATGAAAGGAAGGAAAACAACAACCAAATTTCAACTAATGTCTCCTTTCTGGTGATATGATGTTATGAATTTCTAAGTGAAATAGCACTTGGTGATGCATGCCAGAGTTCCTAACTTTGCGTCTGGATTAGTTCATCCAGTTTGTTTTTCCTTCTGTCCTGTATTTACCAGATATATAACTTGAATACTTCTTGTTTCCTTTAAAGGAAACAAAATGGTACAATTTATAAATCTGTGGGCATATGTGGTGAGTTGGGAAAGGGAAATACTTAAATATTGAAGCCTTTGTTTTTGTAATTATGTATATGTTTTTTTCTTCTTCCAGGGTGGCTTCTGCAACAAAACCTGATCTTATTCATGTACCAAAGGTATGTTCATCATCACAACCAAGAAATGTAGCGTGTAGCACTAACTGTTACCCATCTGTTAAATAGTACAGCACGCTTTATTTCCACATCTTTTTTCTCTCCAAAAAGAATTGAGAAACCTGGTAAATGAGCATCCATAAACAAACAAACAAACAAATAAATAAATGTTATCTTCTAGCTTTTAGAACTTTTTTGAAAGATAATGCTGAATTTTTGTCTATATCCTGAAGGGAGAAACTCTTTTTCATTTTCATCTGCCATTGCTCTAAAGGCAATGACTTTATAGAAAGAGGGAAAAAAAGAACAAACTGTTGCTTTCTTGCATCCCTGACCCTGGGATAACCACAGTTTTCTTTTCCCACATGACTGTAGTATATCAAGTGTTATCAGTCTTATATTTTTCCCATCTGGAAGCTATAACCCATGTTGACCTTGGGTTATGTATCTGTGACCCAACCGCTCATGTGGCACCTGGTCCTGGAGTCTCAAGTAAGGACAGGAGTGGGTCTGAAGTTTGGCTGGAGAAACTTTTGTCCTTGTAGTCAGCAGAGTGCAACTAGAAAAGCCAACTTGGTTCTAAAGCACTGGCCTCTGACAAATGAGCTTCAGGGCCCTGGTTCCTCCCTTCAGGCCCCTATCAACAGATCAATGTATACCGTGTGTTCATACGCACGCACATGATCCTAGCTTATGAGGAATGTGCGTTTCTCAAACTGGATTTGGAAGTGGAATGTGGATTTCTAAAAATACTAATATTTTCCACATGAATTAGCCATTGGGTTTTGCAGTGGAGCAGTGCTTAACTTTGTCTTGAATTTGATTTGTGTAGTGTCTGTTTTGGATGCAGTGAGAAAATTAAGCATCGTGGTCTTTGATTTTTGACCATGCACGCACAGATCATTCCCTTTCTTAAATGCATGGCTCACTTTTTCCACAGATTTCTTGACTGCACTCTCACTTGCTTCTATGATGCTCATACCTCCTCTTTGCTTCATGCTAGGCAGGTTATCTCCCTCAGCAGCACTGAAAATACCTGCTGAGGAATGTGCATGTGGTTGGTGTGGTTTTGTGTGTTTCTTTTTTTTTTTTTTTTTTTTTTATCTTGCATAGGGAGAACCTAAAGAAGTAGTTAAGCCTGTGCCTGTTGCCTCTGCTGCTGCATCCAAAGTCACTGCCATGGCCAGTGTGGCTTACAATAAGACCCCGAGGCCATTCGGAGCTGTGGCCTCCTCAAAAGTCACCTCCATCCCGTCACCGTCCTCTGCCTTCACCCCAGCCCAGGCGGCACCCATGCTCCCCACCCCGGCCCCATTTGCTGCACCAGGACTGCATGTTAACGCCAAGCCTAATGCTGATGGGCGGCCGCCCACGCCAAGCACTGCTAAACCTGCCGTTAATGTCCCACGGCAGCCTGCCACGCACAATGCCGCCCCAGGCGGCCATGTCGGCGACAACACCCAGGAGCTAGCGGAGGGGCTGCGACGAGGATTCAGAGAGAACCAGGGTGACAATAAACAGCAAAATGGGTAGGTGGGATTTTTTTTTGCTGTGAGGGTCTCTTCCTCGCAGGAAAAAAGCTGAGCTTGTTCAAGTGCCAAGTAAAACACATCTCAGGTGTGCTGTCCAATTACAAGAAGCAAATTTCTGAGGAATTAGTGTGCCTTCAGAAAGGGGTGCCTTTGAAGGGCTGAGTCTGTGAGGATTTAATTCTGAAAATATGTCCATTTGTAGTGTCACACCTCAATTGCAGCAGGCCACACCAAAATTTGTTGCGTCATGATGTGTTTTCAGACCGTGCAACAAGCCCAGCATTCATTTGGACACCTGTCTCATTGTTTATGTTGGGTCCCAATGCAGAGGTTAAAAGCAGCAGGCACTTGGAGGTGCAGAGCCGCCTGGCAAGAAGGATTGTTGACCTTCAGCATTGATTGTGATGACTGTCTTCTTGCTTTTTGACTTTTCTTGACTTATCTTCAATTTCATGAACTTGAAGCCTAAAACTTATTATTAGTATTTCCCATTCCTCAAAGGGAAAGGGCGAGGCCTGGTGCACATCTCATCCAATCTCCTCTCGGCCTGAGTATATGAGGAAATCTGCAGAAAAGTAGCCATCCATATCAGCTAAAATAAAAGATCACAGTTTCAAGTAATCATCTCCTGGAAAGGAAAATTTAGGCGCCTATTCCCCTAAAATTGCAGTACAAATATTTTCCATATGCATATTTATATAATGCTGCCCATATGGATTTTATATTACTCTGTTGTCATGGTGCCTTCAAGGCCAATCTTTAACAGATGATGGAAGGAATCCATAGTGCTTAGTGATAGGACGAGAGCAGGAGATCCCAAGGACTTGCTTCTTGAATACACATTGCCAGACTGTCTTTGTCTTCCCAGGAATGTGTCTTTATCGAATAGTATGTAAGGAGCATTCAAAAGTAGTAATTGGTATTGAAAAAGCTGAACAGTAGCAACAAAATTAAGTTTTCTGGAAGGAAGTGCTGGAGGTGTAAGCACTTAACAATCAAGATAGAATGACTAAATGCATGCTGATACCTTCCTTGCCTTATGTTTAGAGATGGGTGAATAATACTGACTGAGGCTGGTAGGTTGGGAAATTCCTGTTTGCTGCCAGTCTTGCTTATCTAGTTTGGGCAATCTTGAAGACGTTTGCAGCGGAAAAGGAACAAAAAAAGAAAATTGGCTAAACTGTATTATATCTTCCCTACGACAGTGTTTTAAGTCTGTAGCTCAGTTTAAGTAAGAATTAAATACTAGTCTTGCAATCCTGAAATAGGAAACAAGTAAAGAAATATTAAAGAGATTATGCTCATCTGCAGCTGCCTGACTGACTTTGTTTTACTTACATTTCTACAGTGATAGTTAACTAAGTTTGCTATGTAAAACCACAACCCCATTTAATGTGGAATTTGACGCTTGTGATATAATAGTGAAGGCTTTAAATTATTGATCAGTCTGAAATAAATTCCATTTTACTTCTTGTATACTTGCATCTTGCTCATAGATAGCACTGCTGAGCAAATAGAATTCTTCAGACTTAGCTTAATACTCAGAAGTTGTTTTTTTCCTTCCTTCCTTCTCACTTCCCTCAAATAATGTTTGGTACGTAAACTATTTGCCTTCACTTCAGGAAGTTTTGTTTTTCCTTGTTTACTCCTGGCATAAATAGAGAGCAATTTGTCCTCACTAGGCTACGTGCAATTAAATTTTGTTGTTACTTTCTTGCCAACTCTCACATGAAAATGTGCCTGCTGCTTTAAAAAAGGTAAGATGTTCATAGGCTTCACTCAGTTTAAGTTCAGGTGGGCTAAATTTTTCCTTTATAGGTTCTCTTGATGGTTTAAGTTTTGACTCTTTATGTGACTACCAGAACTTGGATTTGGAAGGTCCTGTAATATTTCAAGTAGCAGAGAATGTATTAACAAGTCAAATACCTTTTTTCCCTTGCAGATAACAACAATGACAAAGTTAGTATCAACAGCACTGGAGTTGAATTATGGTCGTTTTTTTTTTGTTGTTGGAATAACCAGCATGTATTTTTGTTTTGCAAACAAAACAATATTATATAAAACTCTTGCAGAGTTTTATATTTAAAATTTTGGCAAAACGGCTTCAGCTTCCTTATAACTACTTAGTGTAATAAATGATTTGTCTGCATTGGACATGATGTGATCTTGCTTTTCACTGTGTTAAACTGCAGTATTTTTTAAAACTATTCCACAAAACATTTGTGCTGTGTTTGTGTGTATTGATAGATTCTTGATGCACCTATAGCTAGTTGGTGTCAGCAACACAACCGGTGAATGATGAAATACAGTATAAAAAGGCAAATGATCTGAGGAGTCTGGAATGAAAGGCCAGATGTTGAATTCATACCACAAAATTAAGAATGACATGGGATATGATTATGACTTATTGTGATTTTATTGGCTTATTTTTTCTTTTCTTGCCTCAAGAATGAGCCTCAAGGCTCAGTCTGCCTCATCGAATATTCCTTTGCCTCTGGCACCACCTTGTGCCTCAGTGGCTCATTACTAGTAGACCATTAAGCCGTAAGAAAGAAAGTAAAAGGAGAGAAATCAGCAGGATATTTTAATTGTCATGCCATTATCATCAAATACGAAGGACTTAATTCACTGTGACAGTTGCTAGAATGCAGTCAATAATATTATTCTAATGCTATTACAGCACGTACATAATTACATTTCCATGTAATGCTATACCTTTAAGTACTTCTTTAGTTTTCAGACTTGATTCTCACTATTAACTGTTTTATTGCTTTACTTCATTTTCTTTGGATTTACTTTACTCCATCCTGGAAATGCCACTGTCCTTGTTCCTATACCCCTCCCTCTGTAGTAACCTGGCGAGGCACATTTCCTTCACTAATGCTGTGTGTCCTTAAATGCAATCTTTTGCTGTAATTTTGAATGATAGGTTTCCTATCATTCAAATGTTGTCCATTCTTTTAAGCTGAAGTATTTGTTAATGCATTCCACTGAACAGATCTAATTATTTCCTGATGGCAATTAATAATGTACAAAATTCTCATTCACATTTTTAATCTTTACCAAAAGCACTTCGGACATTAATGATGCAGTAAGTAGTAGCAAAAAAATAGGAGTAACTTTTAAAGGGTTGGGTTGTTTTTATTTCATTATTATATTTTTAATATAATTATAATTTCTTAGGAGCTAGTTTTGCACAGGTCATCTCTTATAAACTTTGTTTAAAAAAAAAAAAAGAGTGCAGGTACAGGTTCTGAGAGATTAATGCTTTGAGATAACTAATATGGAATTTAGGAATAATATATGTAGTAGGAATTTTCTGTTACCTGCTCTTAAGCTATCAGTGCCGTTACATTTTCTTTAGATCAGTTACTTAAAGTAAGGCTTCAGAATCCTGTATTCACCGAAGTCCACTGTTCAGGGGTTGGTCATATAATAGCACATACTGAGGAGAAACATTTCAGATAAAAATCATTACCCCATTTTCTTTTACTTTTGGAGAGGGTATCAAGACTCTGTAGCTTCCCATTGTGCTTTAGAGCATGTTTACCTACACTTTCATCCAGCTATGATCCAGGTCATACCAATTGCAAAGGACTTTGTGTGTGTGGGTGGCCTTGCGCAGTTTTTTGCCTCCTGTGAATGAAGGGAAGAGTTTGTCCAAGACACTTGATAAGTGAATAGACTACTGGACTTTATTAAAACAAGCATATTCACCTATTATTTCAATGCCCTTTCAATATACTTTCCCCCAAAATTAATTCAGTAGAATAACTAGCTGCACTTTTTTTGTTTCAAACTTCTTACTTTATTTCTTCTTTTCTTTTTTCTCTTTTTCCTGTTTACACTGGGAAAACTTTTTCTTGCTGTGTTATTCTGTCATCTCCAAGGAAAATCCCACCCAAACGGTAAATGTTTAAATATGTATCTTGATAATACTGTCTTTTACAGTTTCAAATGTTCCAGTAATGATATAAAAGAAAATATTTTATTTGGATTAGAATAGTTATCAAATTGTATTTTTGTTCAGAGAAATGAGTCTGTGTTCAGATGTGTTTGTAGAGCTCACTGCTATGTTCAAACTCAGAAGTTGACTTTAAATGCTGTGAAAAGCCAGATCTGCCCATGTCTTTGTAGTTACCCTAACCTAGATGATTCTTGAAGAATCTTTTAGCTCATATTCTCTTCTCTCTTAAACACAGCCCACCACGGAAGCACATTGTGGATACCTATACGGAGTTCTACCACACCCCTACTCACAGCGATGCCAGCAAGAAGCGGCTGATCGAAGACACTGAAGACTGGCATCCCCGGACAGGCACTACCCAGTCACGCTCTTTTCGCATCCTTGCCCAGATCACCGGCACTGATCATAGTGAGTAGCTTCATAAGGAAATAAAATTAAAGGCTGCAGGAAGATAGGTGTTTTTTAAAGCTGGTGGGGAAAATAATAAGGTGGTTCAGTCACACTTACTAGTTTTCTCCTCTTGGACAATAAATCAAGGAGGCAGAAGACAGTTTCAGAAGACTATAGTGGGAAGTTGTTTTTATAGAACTCTTCAAATTCCTAGGTTACTTAAAATATATGCATGAGTAGACATTACTTCTTATTGATTTGAGTAACAGTACATTCTAGATAGATATTAAAGTTACCTTTTTCTACTCCTAAAATAGTTGGCAAATATGTATTTGCCGTTTCTTTCTCATTCTGCACGACCAAAATGGCACTGCTTCTGTTCAAATGCAGTACTTCAGAAAGTGGAGAGAAAAACTAAAGCTGTTTTCAGGCATTTAGAAAATCTTTGATGATTATACGAAGGTATGCAATCTGTAATGATTTAACTACTCAGGAGCACAATTCCATAGCTCCTCAGTTTATTCCTGGGGCATGTTTTCATCCTCTACTTACGATATAATGTGTCTATATTTATTGTAGATTGAAACTGAAAATGCAGAGAAGATCTTTCCCAGTCACATAATTTTATGGTGGATCTTGAATTTCTCTTTATGCTCTTGGTTGTGGTTTATTGGCTGATATCTGTAAAATTATATAAAAGTTATTAGAAATTGTGTCAGAATGTTTGATGTCTGTCATGTTCAGACAGATAGCTTATGGAAAGGTTGATAATTTCATTTTTTTTCTGCTTTTTACATCTAGTGCTATGATAAGTGAATATTTTAATAATAATAAAATAAAGGCAGTGAGTAAAGCGGACTCCCTCCCTGGGGGCAGATTTGATTAAATCAGCTATCAGTTCTCTGGCAGAATTACTCTAGAGACCAATGAGAATATCTCACTGAGTGAGGTTTAGTGTCTTTGTGTGATACACCATTCTGAATTCAGACAGTTAATAGTTTGTTTGATAGTCCTGTGTTGTACTAGTCTAGTATTGCATTATTATCTTTCTTTGAATTCTGTCCCTGTCAGGATGAGAACTCAATATCAAATAATATATGTGTGTTCTGATCTAGTATTGATAAATAATCACTTTACTAAATATTACAAAGATGTGGTTGCAACTATATTTGCCAAACTTAAAACCAGGCTGAGATTTTATGTTATTCTGCCTGCAGCCCTCTAGCACCTTGATGAGTCATAGCCTTACAGACAGGTGCTTGAATTTCACCCCATTCAAACCCTGTGGATGTTTGTCCATAAGAGTTGCCTCCAAAATCCCACTCTTTCTTCTCAACTCCCTTTCTCTTACTTTCTCAATGCCAACATGGACAGCAGGCCAAAAGACGTGACAGAGACCAGCAGAACCACTTTACAGTAATTATGCTGGCAAAGGGGCTCTTCGAGTTTATAGACATATCTCATTTCCCATGGGGCACATTTAGAATCGAGGAATCCAAACACAACTTGTTGTAATTTCCTGCTGGGGTGAATACTTTGGCACAGGGAAGAATCTCGGTGTTTGGCAGTGCTGTTTTGTGCCTTAGGAAGTCAAATTTTTCTGTTTTCTTGCAGTGAAAGAACCAGAACATGAAGGTTCAAAGAAGTCTAAGTGAGTCAATGTTTTACATTATTACTTTAATACTTTGCATGTCTTATTTTATAACTGGTAGTGTTACTTTTGCATTTGCGTGAAGTTTGAGTGTTTTTAAAATATTGCTGCTTTTGCCTTGTAATTCAGCATGTAAAAATCAAGATCTTTCTGTATAGACCAATCTTTTAAAATCCCTGTTTGTACAGTCCAGTATTAATATTTGTGCAGAGGTTTGAGCTTTTCCAAAAAATTGGGCTGCTTTGCTTTTCTGTGCAAGGTCAGCTTGTCAACATGTTTTCTTTTTCTAAATCTAACCAGGCATTTTTGATTTGCAAGTGTGTATTGGGTTTCAAGATGTAGCTGGAAAATATTACTGTTCTAGTCTGAATGAGGGTCAGCTGTCTCCTTGGTTTGGGATAAGTGCTGTTTGATATGAGGACGATGCAGTGGCTAAATCTTACTGTTTGTGCAGTTGGGAGTCTTCCTATTGGCATTATCTAACACTGGAGGCAACAGTTTGAAGGACAGGAAGGAGATGTATGGATATAAGTAGTGCATGGAGATTGCATGCCCACTTGTGCAACTGCTTGAGATAAACTTTCTTTCTTTCTCTTTTTCTTATTTTTCTTCTGTCACTTCTTTCCACAGGGAAAAGCTCCCCATCCACGTCTTTAGCCCCAAATATACAAAATTACGTGACTGGCACCATGAAGTCTCAGCACGTGTTCTTAATGTCCAGTGATTTTACCCAAGTTGCAAAAAGCAAAATACAAACACTTCCTTTCTTCTTTTCCATCTGCTTTGCAAAAATAAAGTAGAAAATGTATTTCATTAGCCTCACTAAGAGAGAAATTCTAGCCTTTTCTATACTTTTCTAACACTTTCCTACTGATGTATAAAAACTGAGATGAAAATGTTTTTGTGCTAGTCACTAGTTAACAAAAAAACAAACAAACAAACACATACTTATCACAGAACAACTTGGGTTTCCCAGTGAGGGGGAGAAGATCGCTGTTGCAGTTCTTTTTGCCTCGAAAGAGTCATTTGCATTGCTAAGTTTGAGTTACTGTAGGTTGTTAGCAGAAAACAGTGAACGAGAGAATATGAAATGGTATTACTTTGATTTAGGGGTAGGGGAAGAGGAAGAAGAGGGCTGAATGCATTTACTTCAGACTGTGGTACTTAACAGGATAATTGTCTTGGATTTCATTAGATTTTCAGCAAGTCAAATTTAGAGTGGTTGTAAATGTTTTACAAAGTAGGACAAGAAGACTGCTTTTAATCGAATGAAAGTAGTAATAATGAACGGTTGCCAGTTGCCAATCCAAGTGCAAGCTAAATATAAAGTTTCTGCAGCTTATAGTGAACTGTTCATATTTTAGAAAAGCTAGAAGATAACAAGCAGAATGTTGCTGTGTACCTTACCTGTAAGAGCTTCAATACATAGCTTCTAACAAGAGCAAGACAAGACAGTAGTATTTATTTATTTCAGAGTGAAGCTCTTAGGATTTCTAGTGTTTATAAAAGCTTCATGGCTCTGTGGTTCTCCTGTAAAATAATGTATTATAGTAGCTACACTTCATTAATTTATGCTTTCTGAAGCTTGAAGAGTATTTTAATAAAAGTTGCTTTTAACGTAGTGATGTCTCTTTTCTTTTGAGTCTCTTGGACTCCTCGAGTAGTCTGCTCGTGCAGAGAGCTGTAAATCATTACACCTTCACCAACTGTAGCAAGAGGAACAATCACATCCATGCTAGTATGCCTAGAAACTCTCTGAACTCTATGAAAGTATCAAAGTACCAGAGCTTATAATCATATTTGAAATGTGTTACTTTTTTTTTGTGTTTTCAAAATTGATACAAGATTTACAGAAACTGATAAAATGATTGACCTTTTGTGTGACTGCAGGAGTAAGAATTCAATTAAGTAAACTTTACCATCACCATTAAGTAAAATTCACCATCATCAAAAATGCTACATTTTTTGAATCACAGAAGTTTCAACCCTCTTATGGGAATTGTGAGGCATGTATACAAGCCCAATTGCTCATAAGCATTTCATGAGAATCGTTGCAATTGGCTTATAGTTTCTGAAGCTTATCTAAAAGTTGTTCTTATGAAATTGGTCTTGTAAACAGATTGATGTTCACAGAAAGCACTTATGTAGAAATGGGTGGTGGGGTTTTGGGGGATTTTTTTTTTTGGTTGGTTGTTTTTGTTTTAAGTGCACAAGTTGGAAAACTGAAAGGGATTGACACATTTAATGAAGATATTTTATGCCTATATTTCCTTTCCAGGTGGTTTATACTGATATACAGCATAGTGTCTTACTGTATTTGTCACTTTATCTTTAGGGAAAAAAAAACAGAGAATGGAGAGATCAGGTAACAGCCAAGTTATCTACTGCTAACAATCACTGATACGAATGCATAACATTGCACAGCATAGAGTACAACTATATTTACACCAGTAATGACAGACTAAGGCATCTCACTTATTACACACCTTTTGGTTTAACTCCTTAGGGGTGAATGGGGAAAGTACTTCCATAATTTCACTGAAGGCTGTTTTGATGAGAAGTGCCAATGAGTTTGTCTTTACCACATAACTCAGTTGTCCAAGTACTACATTACTAAAACTATATGTTACTGAAGAGCACATACACTGCCATGTAATCAATTAACAGAATATTGTGTATTGATTTAGGAAAGTGAAATTTTGTGTGAAAATTATTATGCTTGGTTTAAAAAATTTCTTATGAATGAAAAAAAAACCAGGAGTTTCTGAGGCTATCATTACAATGAAAATCACGAGAGATTATCACTTAGATTCTCTGTGAAGTATTTTTCATAAGGATAGAATGGTTTTGGCCTTAGAGTATTTCTGCGTTTGGAAGATATTCCTGAATGAGAGTTAGTGAGCTTTCCTTCATTTGAAGGATGAGTTACTTTAGTTAGGCACAAGTGAAAAAGCCTCCCTGGACAATCCAAAGCATAGAAATCTCTGTTTTAATTACAAGTAAACATAGGCAATCACAGTCTGTCTATTTTGAGTATGAGTATGGTTTGAGTAAGGCTACCTAAAGTTTTATATTTTTATGAATTCATAGTAACAAAATACTAGTTCCCAAAAACATAATATGAACACGTAAAACATATTTCATTTAGTACTATGAAGTTGTTAACTCTTCTTCCAGTATCCCCATTACACAACACCAAAGATTTTGGGCTTTGTTACTGTTTCTAAGATAATTGACGGCTTTTCCATTTGGATGTGGATGATATGCCTTAGTTCACATCTTCCTGGTATGCATCAGAAAAACATTTTGAAGATGTTTTTGATATAAATGAATTGGCTTAAATATAAATGATCACCTAAAAGAGGGAACATAACAAAAAATGGCATAGAAACTTGTCTTCCATCAGTAATCTACTGACAAATATCACAACTTAATACTACAGCTTTATGGACACTGTCCAAGACAAACGCCACATGGGCTTTTAAGTATTACTGTCTCTCCCTAAACTGCTGCTCCTAGGGATATTTAAGTGAATAAAACAGATGTGTGTGTATATATATATAATACATTATTATATATACATTATATATATATAATATGAGTAAAAGCTCCATTGTCACCCAGGCTTTGGAGATACCATCTGTACCAGAATTTCCATCAACATCTTTAGTTCCTGTAAGGTCTGCTCCCTGATCATTCCTATGCTATCTGTTCTTTAATTTTCAGCACTTAGGATGGGTCCCTGCTTTATTAAGATTCTTAGTTCTGCATGCTAATTCAAATAAATAAAATGAAACAAACTCATGTGGCTACCTTAATCTGCTCTAAGCTTGTGGTTGTTCACTTTTACTTTTTTATATTACAATAAGATTTCTGGTGGGTGTTTTTCTTTAAGTAGAGATCCACCATTACAGTATTTTCTAGATTATTTTCTTGTCTGGAAAAAAAAGGGGAGGGAGGGGGGGCTGAAATGCATAATGTAATCTTCACAAAACTAGAATCCTAAATAGTCACATCAAATAGTAAATATTTGATGTACTTGGGGAGTACATTGGGGAGTGAGTACCACCAGCATTTTTGACTGTTTCTTTTCCTGCATTTCCTAAAAACTTTTTCATCACATAATGTGATGTTCCATATTTATCAGTGGAAAATACTGGTTAGCTTTCTGCCTTGATAAGCAGCAGGATGCTTCTCACCCTTCACTAAAAGTGTGATAACTCTTAGGAGTATTGTGCATCATTGTATTTCCCATTTTTATTTCACTATAAGCTGCAGCGATTTTTTCTTTTTACAATTCACTAATGTTTTTAAGCACTATGTATCCTGTCCAGCACACTATTTCAGTATGGATTTAAAATCTTTGTATGTTTTCTTATTGTGAATGGAGTGAAAATGATGCTAGACCAGAGTCTGCAGCCACTTTTCTGCCGATAGCAGAGTCCTCCCCTGGCAGTGTCCCATCTTTCAGACTCACTGAACACATTGATGCAACAGCTCCTGGGAGGTAAATCTTTCAGATTTCATTATCTTGTGGGAAGGAGAGCTGTCTGTCATGCCCTTAAACTTGTCTTTTTAATCTGCCATTAATTAGCGACATTCCTGGAAATGGTAGGAAAGGAATGGAGAAGAGAAATGAAAAAAAATGCTAAGCAGATTCATGAACAATTTTGTGGATATTTGTTCAAATGTGACACAGTGCTTAAGGCAGTTATTTGAAATTTAGGAAGGGAAAGTCTAGTTTCTATCTAGCTATAGATACATTGTCAGTGGGGCTGCTTTTTTTCCCTGAATCGCTTAACAGCTCAAACTGGCAAATTTTCTGTCATTGGCCTTGGATAGCTTCAATGGCACTATTCTTGATATTTTGGAGATCATCTTTGGATCTAGGTCTTGTGACAGTGATTAGAGTTTTTTTTTTTTTTTAATGCTATTATTGAAGGTCCATTGCATTTTCTGATAGATTGTGTATCGCAGTTCTAAGCAAAATGTGGACCTCTTTTCCTGCTATTTTATTTTCCTCCTTAACACTTTGAACACGAAAGTAAAGAGAGATTCTTGTCAACATTTGTACTCAGTTACTGTGCTCTCGGAGAAAAAAACACTTGGAGGAGATGATAGGATACGCATTTTCTCAGTTGTTTCTGTTCTTTGAGAGACATGGGTGACAGCTTTTTACAAAATGCATAATGGCTGTTAATTTTTTTTTTTTTTGGAAGGCATCCTGAGATCTGACAACTGCATAGGGTACAGCGCTGTATCCTTGCAGACAGTGCTGTCAGAGTAGAAGTTTAGATTACTTCTGTACAAGGCTGAGCAATTAACATTTCAGAATGTGTACTGCACGGGTGCTGCTTTCTGCTTTGCTACAGAGATTGTTATAGACACAAGTATTTCAAATTTCAGAGTGTTTTTTTTTTTTTTTAGTTTAGCTACAGTAATGTTTGGCAGCCCTTTAGCAGCTGCCTACTGGTGCGTTAGGTGCTATGCTACTTGTTCCTCACCAGAGTGTGTGCAGCTACATTTCAGTATGTTGAGATAGTTTTTCCCCTCTTTCTCACCTAGTATTAGCTCATTTCAAATACCACATGCAGCATTTAAGAGGGAAATTTATATACTGATAAACAGGTACAATGGTAGCGTATTAATTTGAGGCAAAGTTATTGTAACTGTATTTAATCTGAAAATCTGGTTGAGGGTGAGAGCTGAAGTATTTATGCAAGCAGTAAAAAAGTAGATTAGTATTTCTTGCTTGGAATGAGCTGGAGACAGAAGAATTAGAATTGAATGTGGGAAGGAGACTGTAAACTACTTGATAAAACCACAGAGTGTTTTTTTTTTTTTCTCAAGTTGAGATAATTTGTATAGCAACTATATTTGGTGTTTATATTTTGTTATTGAGTCAGTGTTGCTACTTACAATGCTCTTTAGGATTGAGAGTACATCCAAAACTGGTCTCCAGTAATCTTATATTTTTTAAAGTGGCAACTATCAGAAATCCATGGTGCCATTATCAGATTTTTAATAATGCAGATGTGGTCCATCCAAAAGTCAGTAGACTTGTTTTTGCCTCTAAAGCCCTGCATTTACTGTCAGTGACTAGCATAGATATTTATTTTCCTAATGGGCTCTGTCTTTTCTTGGCTGAAACTCTGTGATTTGTACCACCCACTACCAAACCACCAAGAAGGAGAAAGATCTTGCTGTGAAATGTAAGAAGGGCCTGGATGCGATTACTGGATTACAGCTAGGTTCTCTGCTTATAAAGCAGACTCCATTGTATAAAACATAATGCTTTTTTTAATTGTAGTTTTATGTCTTTAATGAAAGCTTAAAGTAGATATATGGCAATGTAGCCAATTACTATAATTTATAGCATACTATTACTCAATATCATATATGCAATATCCTCCTATAAGCTTAACAGCAATGAAATATTTAGCAGCAGTTACAGCCTTTCCAGGAAGTTTCAAAAAATCACCTTAAATGGTCATCCTGGCAACTTCAGACTCTGTAACTTCAGACCACAGAATCTGGCACTTCCTGAGAAATAAAACTAATAAAAAGCAGAACTAGTGCCAGCAAATTGTTAGATTACTGTATTATATAAAAACTTTTTATAAGCTTACAGACCTACTTTATCCTTTCATTAATTAAATTATTCCTGATAGTCAGAGTTAGCAATAAGTAGAAGGTATTAATCCAGATTTTTGTTGTGTATATTCTGATTAGTGCAGCCAACAATTAGCCAACAATATTCTCTACAGAAACTCCAAAAGTCATTCCTTATTCCTTTTCTAACTGCTGCCAAAGTAAGTGAGAAATGGAAATGCAGTAAGTATGTATGTCTGAATAAAATTTGGAGACTGCTTGCTCTCCTTTTGGAGCATATCCCCATTGTTATTCATTTCTCTTCTCCTTTTATATTTCAAGTTCCTTTTTATGACTTATGAAGCTCTACAAAGATGTTTTATGAAGTTATGAACTACTTGAGGGCAATTACAGAAAAGGCCAGAATCTGCGTGCTCTGCATTTGTTGTGAATTGTTTTATCTGCTTCTGTACTTCCATAAAGTCCGACTTTTTGTCGAGTCTGACATTTCTACATTGATTTTCCTAAACAAATTGCCTCATCTGTAGTCATCATGTAAAAAAAGGAACCTTGCAAAGATGGGAGCTGCTTATTTAGTTGAGAAGTGAGTGTCAGACTGGGGGAAAGGGGATGTCCCAGGCTACCTGAACCAAAACTGCCAGATCTTTTATGGTTGTCTTGCTTTCATTACAAGCAGGAAGAAATTAAATGTGGGGGAAAATGTTGCTTTTCTTTAATAAATGCTACTTGTCCTTCTGCTCTTTTCTTTTCTTTTTTTTTTTTTTTTTTTCCAGTAGACTTTTGTTTGAGAATCCTTTGGAGGCCTTACTCAAGTGTGAACTTCATCCCCTTGCAACTAATCGGGTTTTAAACACCAACAGCCAAGTAGCCACAGTGCCTAAAGTGACATCTCCTTACACTAGATAGAGTCTCTAGTATGCAGACTGTGCTCTTTTTCAAGTGTATTATATGTTTTTGAGTAATTACTTAGAACTACCCAAAGAGTCTTTTTTACAGACTCATGGGGGTTGGAAGAGACTTCTTGAGATCCCTCTAAAGCAGGTTCCCTTGTGCAGGATACACAGGAAAGCATCCAAGTGATTTTTGAATATCTACAGAGAAGGAGATTCCATAGTCTCTCAGGGCAAGTTGTTCCACCACTTTATCACCCTCAGGTTCACCTCCCTAGTACTGCTTCTGGCCACTCATCTTTTAATGCATCCAGGACAGCATTGGCCTTGGCTCATGGCCAACCTGTTGGTCACCAGGACAACTACATTATCCTCTGCAGAGCTTCTTTCCAGCAGGTCAACCGCTACTGTGTGCTGATGCATGTGGTTATTTCTCCCCAGATGTAGGACTCTTCTTGCTCTGGTTGAACCTCATCAGTATCCTCTCTGTTCAACTCTCCGTGGTTAAGCAAGACTAGTTTTAAGCTTTCAAACTTCATCTAAAAATATGCTCCAAAGGATGCATTTCAGCATAGTCTAATTTCCAAAGGATTAATATTTTATTCCTGGGGAAGAAAAAGAAACTCTCAAGAGCTACTCACTACTGTTTTTATAACAGAGGATGCAGGAACACCAACTAGAAGGAGTTGTCTGTTACTGTTCAGTATTTAAAAATTAGATGGGAAATTACGCACATGTATTCTCATTACAATTACCTTTTATCAAATTAACATCAACTAGGGAAATAACTGCGGAGTTGCCCTCTCCTGACGCATCAGTCCTTTTGCCAAGCACCGCTGGCACAGAGCCTCCTCTCCCTGCAAAGTGCAGTGTGGCTACACAGACCCCAGAGCCCCCTCTGCCCACCCCTACGGCCATGCAGCCACCTTTTGCAGCCCCATCTGTGGAAGCGACTCCTGTTGTGCCTCCTCGTCCTGCCAGGTACAAGGATACCCACTGTCAAGAGTCACAATCAAAGCCTTATTTTAATATATGATTTCATCTGATTTTTTTATTTTTTATTTTTTATTTTTTTTTTTGTTAATGTTAATGCTGTCAAGCTGGAGCAGTCCTCAGCCACCTCCTGACTCTCATGGTGCTCTGGAGATTAATATAGCAACTAGCAACTGGAATAGCTATTAAGCAAAAATTGATAAAGTAAATCAGAAATTAGAGTGACCTTCAGATGGGGGAAGATAAAGTTATAGATTGGAGAGTTGATAGGAAAGTAACTGTTCTAGGAAGTTGATGATGTTATTCACCTTCCCAGCAAAGTTTTGTCATTTCTGTTATAAAATGTACATTTCTGAATTGTCCAGTAACCAGAAGTTTCTGGTGTAGAGTACAAGCATTGACTTGTGAAGTGGCAGAATGTTAATTATTCCTACTAGTTACCAGTAGGGAAAGATAGCTTCCCTCTTTTCCACCATTACCAACTCCACCAAAAGAGGGAGAAAAACTAAACAATAAAGCTTTATTGGAGTGGACACTGGATATAAGAATGGAGATTTGTGTATCTGGGTTCATTCAATTTTAATGAACAATTTGTTTGACCTTTGTAACATGCAGATTGGCATGCTAGAATTAATAATCAAAGATAGTGAACTATACTTTTTTTTTTTTTATTGACTAAGGAGTGCTTGTAGAAATCCTTAAATGAACTTCTCCTGAGCTTTAGTTAGCATCTCCAGAAGTATAATTAGTGTCTGATTTATGATTTTTTTTTTTCTCCTACTGCTTTTGGGCAGGCATGATGCATCTGTGCCTACTTCCGAAACAAATGCTTTTGGTAATATCTCAAGCTGTCAGTCTAAATCGTCCATAAGTCACACAAGGTAAATCTTTCAAGGCGTAGCTATGGCAGACTCTTTGGTTGTATACAGCATTTTCAGGCAGAATTTCTACATGTAAATCCAAGACACACTGTATCATGTAGTTGTATAAATGGAGGCATTTAGAGTCTTTTTTGAAGTGATTTAAAAAATACATAGCAATTCTGTGGGTAATCTTGAAATTTTAAAACAGAGCTTGAATTAAATATCACCAGTGTAGAGCTGATTTTGATGTCAGCATTATTTTTGCCTCTTCATGTTCCTTCCAACTAGATAATAATTAGGGGAAATACTAAGGGGTGGGAGAAGCGTGCTGAAGTTGTATCAGTGAATATCCCAATGTTTTTATGTTTATTTATTCTGAAAACATGGAATGAGCTAATTGACTTCCAGGACTTTTTCCATCAACCCATGGAGAATGAGATCAGTCATGGGCAGAGGGTTCAGTGGGAGCAAGCCAAGGGTGAGGTGTAGCCTAGAATGGGCAACTGAAGGGCTGGTAAATGCTGATCTCTGACTTGATGAGTGGAAACTTATTTGTGGGTAAAACCAGAATTGCTGTTTCCTGTGTTACTGTTCAAGTTGCTAACACATTGCCCTGAGATCTTTGAGAGCTGGTAACCTATGGTAGCATCACTTTCCAGTAGTTAATGCTATACAGTATTATACTGTTTCTCTGTCAATCTTTTCTGCTTTCTTTGTTTTCTCTGTTGGTTCAAAGTTTGTGTGCTAGAACAGAATTTCTGGGAAGTCCTTCAGGAAGTCTGGCCAAGCTTGGACCTGCTCCTGTTCCAGTTTTTTCTCCTTTCAAGCAGAGATCAAAAATTAAGCGTATGGCTGCTGCTGCCGTGTCTGCTGCCATTGCTGTTCATGCCAGGTAGAGATCAACTCTGAAAGGAACCTTTCATAGCTTGGCTTAAGAATATTAAAGTTCTTTCACAATACTGTGGTAGGCAAGCAGTTAGAATATTTCCAAAGCTCCTGTGTCCTTTTATTTTACTCCAATCTGCTGCTCTGAATCTCGATGAGTAATTCTACCTTCCTGATCTTTATGGACATCCATGTTGTGGTTCAGTCAGTAAACCAACTGAAAATAACAACTGTTGTACAGATGACAAAGAACAATCTGTATCTGTCAATAGTTTTTGGATCTGAAGGCTACAACTAGAGGGTTGCAACTAAATCTTTATCTTTTTATTTATACTGCTCTTTATAAGGGATTACTTAGACCAGTGGTCTCAACTTTGTTGGTCATGCATGTCCATCAGTAAAACTATATATATATATATATATATATATATGTATTTTTGAACATGCATTCCCAATATATGTATATTTTTTTAATTTCTTAACTGTATACATGACCTGTTGTACTAATATACATATCCGTACATTATGGACAATACACAGTGCCAGATATTTTTTTTTAAAAAAAAAAAAAAAAAGAGGGAAAAGATTAAATAAGCCTTTAAAAATTATTTTATTAAAGATAAAAAAAAAAAAAGATAAATATGTTTCTCATACTGTGGTGAGTTTTCTTGCACCACATTGGAGTGTGTGCACACCACTTTGAAGACCACTTATTTGAATGGCATTTCTCAGTTCATTTTATCCATACTGCTGTAGAACCTTCAGAATTTTTCATTTATTTGACTTTTCAGTTAATCCCAGCCAACCTGAAATCTGTTCAGTCAACTAATTTCTTACATGGTCTTTTCAAATGCTTATTAGGCTCTCAGAACCTAGTGCTTACCGCTTGCTCTTGGATGCCCTGCTCATCACCCCTGTCACTAAACCTCCTCTACAAGCCAGCAGGCCCTCCAGGAAGTCAACAAGTGCTCTGGAGTTGCCAAACAGCAAGAGGTATTGTCCTGGTGTTGCATGGAGTTGACACTGAGGACTTGCAAAGAACTGGCTTCCACTTCAAAGCCTGTTTCTGTTGTCTGCATGTTTTCAGCAGTCTGCCTGTTGTGGACTTTGGCATAATATACCCAGCCCCAAACCCTGTTGGTTTCACCTGTTTGCAGAACTAATCTGCACCCTGGTCCTGCCAGTGCTATTCGTGTAAATCCACCATACTAAGTCTAGGTGGGCATCTGGTGCACTTCTGAGAGGCACAGTACTGTTTGTGTTGTGTTGGTTGGCACTATTACTAAGTAGCTGACTGGAGAAGAAATGGCATTCTGGCTTGAAAGCTCTACCCAGATGAATTATTTGCAATGATTTCTTGGGCAGCTGTATGTTAGGCTGAGAGCGTTCCTGGGACGCTGCTATTTTTCAAAGCTTGTTTTTAATGTAAGAAATCAAATAACTGACGTGTGCAGCAAATAAGTCCTTTAAAAATTATTTGCTGTCCAGGCTCTTTGTTCCAACTCTGATTCTGTTCAGTGCACAGGACGTTTTGTTCTTGTTTCCTGACCACAGCTATGTTAACACCAGCTCCTGTGAAAAGCTGATGCTTTGTAATCAGCTTTAGCCTCAGAGGGGAAAATCTTTGGCAGATATTTTAAAGGGTAGTATGTATTAAGCTGTGCTAAGGGAGACGTAATCTATGCATTTTCATGTGCTTACTTGCATTTTCACAGGAGTAATACATTCAGGAGATAAGGCCCAATTAAAGATAGAGCTGAACACCACTTGATATTGAAAAAGTGTTATGTATTAGTCATTTGCCTCCTTCTTCATAGCTTCCATGGTGACTTGAGTCACAGAAAAAGGCTAAAGTAGCCCTGACTTTTGGGAGGAAAATAGTGTTATTAGACACGAAGATAATGTTAAGCTGCATCAAAATTTTCTTTTTTGTGTGCTCCAAAAGAAAAGTTCTCCTTAGCAATTCTGATGCCTGTGCAACACAGATGAAATCCAAGGCATGCTGCCAGCAAGACTTTATCTATGTTGTGTATTTGCTTATACTTCAGTAGAGCAAATAATGGTGGTGAAAATTCTGAGTCTTGTTTACTCACTGATGTTCTGTGTTTGTGGCATAAGCTGCGCGTGAAGTTAGCTTGTTACAAGAATGTAAGCATTTCAGTTGCAGACTGTGAAGCTGTCTTTGTTTATCCACTTTTTGCTCACGAGTCAAGTAGAAACTCTCCTGATTTGGGAAGCGCACTTTCGGAGATGTAAATGCATAAATAACTGGTGTTGATATAAAGCTTGCACACAACATACTAGGGTAACAGTGTCTAATTTCGTTGTTATCTCGGGCTGTCAGTGCCACTTAAGGAAGAAGAGATTGCCACTAGATGGAGCCATGGAAATAAGGCTCTGTGATGTCTCATCATAACTAGGGAAGGAACACAGTCTCATTGTATAGGCTGAGAAACATGTAGTAAAAGCAGAGGCAAAAGGCAAATTATGCTTACAGTTACCTCAGAAGAAGAAAGGGTAAGTTTAGGTTGGATATCAGGAAACACTTCTTTACAGAAAGGGTTGTTAAGCACTGGAATAGGCTCCCAGGGTGGTTGAGTCACCATCCCTGGATGTGTTTAAAAACTGTTTGGATGTGGTGCTCAGGGACGTTATTAGTGGAGGGTTGCTAGTTGGGGTAGTATGGTTAGGTCATGGTTGGACTTGATGGTCTTTAAGGTCTTTTCCAACCTGAGTGATTCTATGATTCTACGATAAACTGGATTTTAAAATGTCTTTGCATTACTATCAGTCTAATGACATGTAATATCTGCACAAATACAGTGCTGAAAAGTTATTTTTAACAACAGCTCACTTAATGGCACAATACAATAGCTGGTGTGTGAGTAGAGTTAAAATCTTATGTCTGTAAAGAGATGAGGGTATGGCATCATATGATACACCGACTTGTTCAAAAAACAACTGGCACAACTGAGACAGCCAAGGTAAATAAGCTTCAACAACTTCAAGTTTTCAGTTTTCTAGGTCTATGTTAAATACTTTTCACAAAAGGGTAATGAATCTATTTTATTGAGATAGCTTATGTTTGCATTGTCTTTAGGGAAGAACACAAGATGGTTGTAAATACAACAAAAACAGCACTTAGGTCTTGCTCTGCAGGAGAGTTGCTCTGGAATTATTTCTATTGAATCTCTTTCACTTCATCTCTATTCTGAAAAGTTTGCTGTCTGGAGCATTACTGTACTGCATAGCTTCCGGAAAATTTGGCATTTTTCTGACCAATGCAGTGTCTGTTAACTGGCTTGAAGTAATGTTAAACATCTACACATTTTGTTCCTCTGCCAGATCCCTCAGAATGTGTTGTGTTTTGTTGTTGTATAATGTATCCATGCAGTCTTTTGTGAACTGGTCATCCTGTTGGCAATGGATCCTTAAGTTTTATAGGTTTTGGTGATAATTCTTTTTTAATCCCCAACCCCTCACACCAAAACTGCATATATAAACCAAAGGAACCAATGTCTTTAATATCTTGACTCTCCAAGAATTTTAAAAGTTTTTCCCTAAAATTAAACCACATGATAAAAAAGTCCCTGAAGTTCTGGGAAACATTAGCAAGTATAGATGTAGATGTGACTTTTGCTTTAGGTACCTGACCCAATGTAGTGCACAATTACTTGACAAGAGGACAGTCTGAACCTGTGGGAGAATATTTATTCTGAAAGAAGTTCTGAATTCTTTTTGTGCAGACCACTGCTTACATAAGGGTAATGTATGTCCTTACTGTAACTTGATATGGAAAAACTTCTGCCCACACGGCTTTCTCTACTTTTTTATTTTATTTTGCACCTTTTTTTCCTTCTTGTAAATTACTGGGACACTGCTAGGCTAAAACAAAATGTAAATGCCATTTTTAGAAGTTGAATGTGACTCTGGGCTTTGCAGTACAAATGTATTTTGGAATACATTTAGCACTTAGTATTTCTTGTGTTTTTGCAAGAGCATAAGACAACTGCCTTCCCTCATTTGTGGGGTTTTATAATTCCCATGCCTGGCTTTTCCTGATATCTGATATTGTGCATGTATCTTCAGGTAATGTGTATGTGGATACCAGACAAGATATGTCATGAGTTATATACGACTTAAACAGTGTAACTAACAGCAAGAAACTGAGGTTTTAGGATCAAGTTTTATCCCAGCTGTGCTGATATCCTGCTGTATGTAACTCTTTGGAGAGGCATTTCTGCAACAGTATACTTGGCCCTAGAGACGAGAACGCATTCTTTCCTGACTGCTACATTTCAAAGTTTATTCAGTATAAATGCCTCAAAAATCTCATATTAAAAGTTTCTCATTTCTTCAGAGCTGTATCAAGCATTGTGCATACATCTTAGGAGTTATATACATTCCTGCACTATATACTCTATGCCTGCTTGGGATGAACAGGTAACTGGCAGGCAGTAATGTTTGACACAAAGGAACTCTTACTAGTTTGTTTATGCATATATATTTGTTATAGACTCTTTAAAGCAGAATCAAGGCTATCACATTCCACTTGGTTATGCCAAGAAAGAAGAAGAATGATTTGCTCACATTTTTCTTTTTCTTTCTTTCTTTCTTTTTTTTTTTTCTTTGTCTTGTTTTTGTCTTAAAAGATTTATTGTTCATAGGGGAAAATAACCTCACAGAATTCCTGGCCATATGAAGAAAGCTCTTACAGACTCTTAGATGTTATGTGACCTTTCTTGTCAGTGAGCTGCTTCAGACCCCATGGGATTCGTTCCAATTCGCACAGCTTTCTGGGCAACAAGTGGGAGTGAAAATATCATTTGTAACCCAGAGAACTATTTGAGAACTATCTGGTACTGATGTACCAGACTGAGTTACCAGTACATGCTGAGACTTGGTTGATGATGTTTACAGATGGATACCTTACTATCCTGAACTTGCATTAGAAAAAGTCTGTTCAGGAAAGTCTGAGATTTGTCTCTTGTTACCATTTCAGCAGCGCTAGAACTTATATGATTTATTTAATTTTCTGCTAGGAGCACAGCTCTTCCTTTGGCTAACAACAGCATGAGGCATAGTTATTTTCTTTAAAGCATGTATTTCTGATACACAGCTCTGTACAAGAGTTTCCTTTTAAGGATGAATGGAGGTTTAGGCATCTATAACCCCATACCATCTATTTTTCTAATCTTTGCTTTTTGAAGGTAGGGAAGGGAGGGCGTCAAAATGCCTGAATATGTTCAGGAGGATTTTCCAGTGCTAATCTTCTAGAATACTTCTGAAGTGTTCTTAGCACCTGATTTTCAAAAGGAAGCATGGCTGCAGATATCTAGGAGCCATCTCTGAGAAACTGATCCTCGTTTCACATGTGACCTGGACCTGCTTCCTTCCACACATGCTGCACACTCATCACCTCTCTATTGTATCTAGTAAGCTCTCAGTACCTTGTACCATCTTATAATGAATATGACTCTTCTGGCTACATCTAGGAACATGTGTCTTTTGCATTTTGGAGAGACCAAGTGTTCTTCTACCCTAAGTCTAGAAGAACGTTTTCAATGATAACATATGTTAACTTTCAATGTGGACTTTTTTCTTGCTGTAAGTATTAATTATGTGGAGAATGAATCATTTGAATTATAAAACAAAGGTAAAAGATTAAAACTAGAGGTAGAAGCTAGGCTTGACATTAATGACAGTAGAAGTGTTTTGACATCAGAATAACCTGAACATTTTCAGTGTTGTTTGGAAAGTCTGATAAAGCTACTTATGTGGAATTTGGTGAATACACAAGGTTCATAATTCCTTCTTCAATTTTCTAATGAAAAATGAACTGCAGTTCTTTTCCGTAACCAATTCATTTCTTTCTGATACATAACTATGTGTTAATAATATTAATAAAGTTGGATAAAAATAGCTTAAACTTGAATGCTTTCTGACATAAAAGGAGTTAGTAAAATGTTTAGGAATTACTTCTGAAGCATGAATTTGAGTAAGTTTAGCTTGTAAAAGGTGGAATATCTCTGGGGTTTTTTAAAAGTGAGACAAATATATGGATGTATCTTTCTCTCTAAGGAAAACACTGCACACATCTCCCAGGCAATTGTGTTAAATGAGAAGCTAAAATTTAGGTAGACCAGTGTACGCACTGTTTGCTGCAGCCCACCACTGCTGGTAGGCATTAATACACAGGAGAGATGTGCCAAGCTGCAGCAATTAGCAACTTGCCTGTTAAATTAACTGGGTGCAGTGCAGGCTTGGATTTATTCAACTCTTACTTGAAAAATAGAGGCACAATGTGCAAAGGGTGTTCAAGATCTGTCGGAAATTTTGAGGCTAGCCTGATGCCCTCTGCCAATGTCATGGCTTCAAGTTTTTCACTTGGGAAGCTTGTCTCGTAGCATGCAATCTATCTCAGGTGGTCAAATACCTGGGTTTATCATTGTCTTTTAGTTTAGGGTCTTTAGAATTGCCTTTTGCAGTCTTTTTGTTTTCTAAATGAAAACCTAAATGTCTCCAGCTATCTGTTGGTTTAGGAAGTCACATGCCATGTCATCCACAACCTTGAGAATTCAACCATGGAGCTAGTGATGGTGAAGGTAGAAGTTGGCATTTCACCTAGCCTTGTAGGCATGAGTCAGTGTCTATTCCCTCACTTACACTTGTAATACTGCTATTTGGCAAACACAGGCATGAAGCAGAATTTCCATCTTGACATCTCCCTTTCTTTCCTCCAAAATGGTTGTACATCAGAGGCCTCAAAGGCAGCACTTTGCCAGCTGCGCACCTCAGCTGTTTTCTATGTGATGTCCTTCAGGAAATGTGTTGCATAAAGGTGAAATTCCAGCCTTTGATGACTGTGTTTGGAAAGCTGATGTTTGTTTTTGAACAGCCTTATATGGATATGAAATCCAGTGGATGGAGATTACTGACCTTATGAGAGAGTCTTACTCATTAAGTAGCCTCTTCTGTGTAAAAGCAGCTGTATTCAGCAGGATTCTCTTATTTACGTTTTTGGACAAAGGCAATAAAATAGAAGCTGGACTCAAAAAGTGATTTGACAAGTAGTGATGAGTCTTTATGCTTCAATAGAAAAAGACCAACGTTGCTTTGAAGTAATTTTGAAGTTGTAATGGGGTTCCAGCCTGAAGCAGGTATATTGAATCATTGAGTGGTTTATGTTGGAAGGGACCTTTAAGATCATGTAGTTCCAACCTTTCTGCTTTAGACAGGGATGCCTCCCATTAGACCAGGTTGCTCAAAGCCTCATCCATGCTTCCAGGGAGGGGGCATCCACAATTTCACTGGGCAATCTGTTCCAGTGTCTCACACCCTGATGTCACAGCACAGAATTTCTTCCTAATACGTAGTCTAAATCTACCCTTTTCCAGTTTAAAACCATTTCTCCTTGTCCTGTCACTGCACGTCCTTATAAAAAGTCCCTCCCCAGCTTTCTTGTAGACTTTCAGATACTGGTAAGCTGCTATAAGATCCCCCTGGAATTTTCTTTTCACTAGGCTAAAGAGCTCCATCTCTCTCAGGCTGTCCTTGTAGGGGAGGTTCTCCAGCCCTCTGATCATCTTCATTGCCCTTCTCTGTACCCACTCCAGCAGTTCGATATCCTTTTTGTGCTGGGGGCTCCAGAACTGGATGCAGTACTCCAGGTGAAGTCTCATGAAAACAGAGGGGAAGAATCACATCCCTGACCCTGCTGATCACACTTCTCTTGATTCAGTCCAGGATAGAGTTGGCCTTCTGTGCTGCAAGAGCACATTGCCAACATATGTTGAATCTTTCATGAACCAACACCTCAAATATTTCTCAACAGCTCTGCTTTCAACCTATTCTCCACCCAAACTGTTTCGGTGCTTGAGATTGTCCCAACCCAGGTGCACGTGACCTTGTTGAACTTCATGAGCTGGTCATTGGCCCACCTCTCAAGCCTGTCCAGGTCCCTCTGGGTGGCATCCCTTCCCTGTAGCACATCAACTGCACCACTCAGCTTGGTGTCATCTGCAAATTTGCTGAGGTTGCGCTTGATCCCACTGTCCATGTTGCCTACAAAGACATTAAAAAGCCCCAGTCCCACCACCAATTCCTGTGGAATTGGACACTGAGCCACTGGCCACGACTCTCTGAGTGCAACCGTCCAGCCAGCTCCTTATCGAGTGAGTGGACCATTGGTTTGATGAGTTGTGTGTCAAATGATCTCAACAACTTAGAATGACCCTTTTGTGACAATGAAGTTACAGATAGTTTTTTCTGGAAGCCTGTCTCCTAAACTACTTTGTCAGCAGCACTGAGCTGCTGCTTAATGGCAGATAAAGGTCTTCCTATCCTTTTTCTTTCAGTCTGCAAAGGCATTTTTATTCAGTACCTCTACTTCCTCAGAATCTGATGTTGAAAAGACTTGTATATTAAGCTTCTGAGAAGTCTAAAGTACTCTGTAAATGCCTCAGATGTCTGAATATCTTTTAGCATTTGAATGTAACAGAATGCACTTCGTGCTTCACTGGACTTGTAAGCACTGCATGTAGGAAATCAACTGGAGCATCAGCGACAGCTGTCTCTATTAGCAAAAGACTTTAATTGCAATAGCTATTACTCACTAAACTGAACATTCAGATATACTCTTTTCATTGTGGAACTTGTTAACCCTGTAAATATGGAGACAAAAATCAAGATTGGTAATTTATATTTTGGCCTCATAATATGTCTGAGTGCTTGCATGCTGTATGGTCAAGGCACTACTTGACCATACATCCTATTTCTTTCTCCCTCATTTCTGAACAGTGATTCCGTGGAGCCTACCCCACCTGCCACTTCAGTGAGGAATGTGTCTGCCAGCCACGAAAGCCCAGATGCTAAACCTACCCCCACCAACAATGCCACATCTCCTTCAGCACCCAAGCCAACAGGACCCCCAAGCAGTGCCAAGTACTCAGGCTGGCAGCCTCCAAGCCAAGCAGGTAACTTGCAGTGAGGTCTTTTCTTGTTTGGTTAAAGACCCTCAGAGAGCTCAGTAAGATATGCATGATCACAGGTGTAAGAGCAGCAGCCTTCAAAGGGCTGCTCATGTGTTTTGAGTAGAAGCAATTTTGTTTAGCAAAGGGGAGAACAGCACAGAAGCTCTGGTAAATGAGTATCCTTATGAAAGTAGCCTTTTAGATGTAATTGGTTTCACAAACAGGCAAAATCTAATGTCTCTGACCTTCTGTCAAAATTGTGTATAACAATCACATATGTACAAATACAATTTTAACTTGGTATTCCTCATATGACTGTAAATTCAACAGAACGTATTCTTTGTGATTTCAAGGAGTATATCAACAGAGATACGTGTTCCCGAGTGATCTCCTCTGAAGTCAATGTTAAAAAAAATAGAAAAGGAAAAAAAGACTAGAACATGAAAGTGGCTATGTATTTCGCATTTGCAGACTTTATTCATGGAGGATGCCAATGTTATCCAATTTATGATATAAGGGTTTATTTACAGCTGGGTTCTTATAATGATCACTAGCATGGCTGTTGCATTTGAGTGAAGTTTTGAGATTTTTTTATTGCTTTGTACCAACACTGAAATGTTTGGAAAACATGCTTTTTTCCTTATGGAAGCTCCTTTCTTATTACTGTATGCATTTCAAGAAATACAATATGTGTAATTCTGTATATACTTTTTCATAATATTATATGCAGTGATTTTAGGTAATCTCTTAATGTAACTTGTTTCTTAAATTGAATCTGTCTTTGATGCTGAACTAAACTTTAGTATTAATTTCAAAGGATCCGGGAAATCTGTATTACTAATTAAATTTAGACTGCAGATTTTCTGGTAATAATGAGATGAATACTATCAATTCTCCTTCTGAAAAGGAATGTAATGCTAAAATTCCTTTTTTCTTTTTTCCTTAAGTTTTATTCTTAAAGATTTTCCTTCTTTAAAGTATACCCAGCCCAGAAAGGGATCTGCAGAGGTCATAGCATAAAAATAAAGATAAAACGTATGGTGTATAATGGAGCCTTTGGCACATATGGCTTAAAATTACTGTGAACCTGGTGACAAATAGACATTTTGAACATGCAATACTGCTATGGAGCCTCGAGATGGCAATATGCTGTCATTTCTATACTACCCTGTCAAACATCTTAAAGACAAGGTAAAGAATTACGTCAAATTTTGTTTTCTGACTTTGAGTTAGGAAAATCTTTTTAAAGTTACTTTTGGTCGCATGTACTTCAGGCAAGCATTGTGGGAATATGTTAATCCCTCATTTTTAGAAGTGACTGTGTTACATGTTTGGTGTAACTCCTTTCTCTGTCCCACAAAGGGATTAATTTCTTTCATTTGCACAAAAAACAAACTAACTAACTAACAACCAACCACCACAATAGTCAACTTTGAGTTTCAACAATACCACACCCATTTTCAGTATATTGTTAGGTATTTCACAGCAATTCCTACTATTGTGCTTTACCATTAATGCAAGTATTGTTTGAAATAACTTTTTGAGGTGCTGATGACTGCTGCATGATGGAGAAAGATAAGTAAGGATGAATTAAATTTCACTTTATTCTGTACATCTGAGGAAATCTGGGCCTCTGCTCTGCATGATTTGAAAATCTCTTCTTTCGCCTTAGGAGTATCAAGTAGATCAGTGAGGGTAAAAGCTAGGCATGCAGATTTGGTTGATATAAGCTAGAAAAGCTCAAAAAATAATCCAAACAACTTTGTGTGAAATTTCAACATATTTTAAATATTTTTTTAATGCAGAAGTTGTGACAGAATTGCAAAGTCCACAGTTAGTTATTAGAACTTGTATCTGACTCTTGCTTTTTCATCACTTTCAGGCATTTGCAGGTTTTACATGTATACATATTGAATGAGAATTTTATTTTAAAAAGTTCAAAGTTTATATAAAACAGCTTTCAAGGCATCTACGCTAAGATCTGGCAGTCCAAAATGAAGATATGAACCTGCCACACTGGGAGATGCAACCAGGTCACTTGAACCCAAGATTTGAGCCAGTTATGATCAGTGCTGTTCCCCACAGCAGCAGGCACAAGGGAAGAGGCTGACCATGCAAGATGTTGGGTAACAAATACCTTTTTGGACAAACAAAGGTAGAGAAATACGGCCCATTCCTAGCATCCCTGTTGAGGATGATGTGCAGTGATAGAAAAGGTGGTTCTGAGAATATGAGAACTTTGTTGTCTTGCTTTATGCTTTGTGCTAGAAAACCTGAGAATATCTTGCCTCAGGTTCACTGCCAAAAAAGCGAAGTCATTACCTGCTTCAGAAATACCGAGGGAGCAAGAAATAAAATGTGCAGTAGAGAGAGAGATTGAAAACCTAATGCTTCCTAAAATGGACAGCCAGTCTGTACTCTTTCCTATTCATGGAGCTTCTTTCTGAAATGTAAATGTAAAATGGACATTTCGGAAATGTCAAAATGCCCTTTTTCTTCCTTCTATTTTTTCTCCCTTCTTAAATTATTTGACTTCATTGGTCTGGAGATACCTTCATCTGCCCATGTGTGAGGAAGTGATGCACTTAGCCACTCACTTGGCAAGCTTCTTAAGTTGAAAAAGAAAAGAAAAGAAAAGAAAAGAAAAGAAAAGAAAAGAAAAGAAAAGAGCAACATTTCTTGATTTCACTGAGATTGTGACAGCTGCCTAGGAATCTGAAGCTTGTCCGGAGGTTCTAAAAGTTTCACTGCAAGCTGGGCCCATAGACCTGTCATGAGGTCACCCTTGGCTTTTTCTGTCACATGCTGCCCCAGTCACTCAGTAATGCAAAACTAGCAGTTAAAAGAGACCTAAACGTGGTTACAGCAGTGTTACAGCAGAGACTGATGGCAATCTTTCTCAGGCATGTATTTCACAAAAACAAAAATTCCCATGGTTTCATTGTGCCTAAGCTTGCTTAGTAAGGCTGAAACCAGCAGTCTGACAAGTAAAACCTTTTAATTAGCTGAGTATTTTGGTAAAATTAGTCAAATGTGGAAGAAAGACTATAACTGTTTCAGGGCGTATTTGGATTTCAGTCACTAATTCTGCTGTTTGTTTGCAGTCTGTGAGCTTGGCATTTCTTTTCAAGTAAAAATGCCAGCACTTCACAGGCCAAGCAAAATTTGGCCTTGCAGGTTGTGGATCTGACAAAATTTTAAACAAATAGAAACATTTCCCTTTGAGTCTAATTGATTTCATAGTTGTAGTCTAGCATGGGAAATAGGAATGAAGGCATAGTCTTATGCAAATATGTATCAGTATGCTATTAATAATAGAAACTCCTTTGGAGTACAGTTTTGTAGTGCTAGTCATACTCACTCTTCTAATGAATATTGTACATAGCACTAAGTTGTTTCCATAGTTAAGCAGACATGTTACAGGATTTTTTTTGTGTCTGGGAAAGATGTAGTCTGCTGTTTTATGGCATAAATATTACCAGTGATTTTATTTATTAAGGTGTCCAACTACACATATTAGTCATTTAGTCAGAAGGCATCCTTATGCCTTTAGCTGGCATCTCCCTTTCTTGGATAGGCTATCAGAGAATACCCTTAATATTAAGAAAAGTTGTGTGGCTTCTTGTGTTTGGTTTTGGCTTAGATTTGTTTGTTTTTGTTTTATGATTATGCTGAGAGGTTTGAAAGTACAAAAACTGTCTACAATGTGTGGCTCACATAATGAACTTGGAGATACCCCAGGCATAGGTTTTCTCAGTGCAGGTGTCAACCTTGATCCAAGTGATCTTGCAGTGATAGCATCTATAGAGCTCAGTTATCCTTGATGCTGTAGAATGCTGCTTGCAGGGTATCTGTGAACACTTGTGCTAAACATGGGAGCACCATATGTTCCCTGATGGCAAGCTTCTGCCCTCCCCAGGGGAGCATTTGGTTTATTCTCCTGGGCAGTAGCATGAAAATTGTTTCAGATGTCTGTGCATCAGTGTGCCCTTCTCAAGCTCTCCTCCTTAAAATCTCTAGTGACCTCCTTAAAGAGCAAGATTTCATTTTTTTCTGTAAAACAACTTGGAGTGCTATGAGTGGCAGTGAACACTGAGAATGGCAAGAGCCAGTCTAGATCTCGTGATTGGTTCCCAACTTGCTGAAATGAGTGGTGTAATTTTATAAGGTTAAAATGAGATCTGTATTGTTGGCTGTAGAAAGTTTTCTGTGGGATGGTATTATGGATTAAAGGTGTTCTTTTTTTGTTGCTGTTTGTTTGTTTCGAGAGCATCTGGAAAAGATGTTCAGTTAGGCATAATTGTTCTACTATTCTTAGTTTTCAAATTCCAGCAAATCACAATGTTAGTTACCCAGTATGAAAGTAACACAATACAGTGTCCTTTTCTGGAATTAAATCCTAATGTTGCAGAATTCTTTAGTGCTTTGGTAAAGGAAATGGTGGATAGCTACCCCACTCTTTCTTGTATGCTCACAGAAGCTGGATAAACATGGTAAAAGCCTGACTTGACAAATCAAGTCTGATCTTTGGTGTATTGGGTGCACAAGGATCTCAACATCCAGAGGAAGTGTGACATGTACATGGTGAAGTGATGATACACACCACAGTTGACAAGAACACTCTTGCCATTTGTTGCAGTAAGTCAAATTGTGGTCACTACTGTGTGAAGTTTATTGGCTAGGCTTTATAGCAGACCTCAGTTTGTTTTTCTCAAGTTATGATGTTCCTTTTGAGCTCCCACCAGAAAGAGAGAAGCTTTTGACAAGATTGTTATATTCAAGCAACAGCAACAAAATTCCCACCAGTGGCCTAGCACCATCACAGCCCACCCGTAGCCTAGATGCACTGAGTTATTTTACTATTTTGTAGCTAACTTTTGTAACTTATGCTGCACCATTCACCCTCAAGGAACGCGAAAGCATTTGCAGTCTTGACACCATGTGCAAGCACAGGCACTGCTTTGGTGAAACATAACAGCTGCTTCTCAGCACACTGTAACGCC